AAAAAATTCAATGTAAACGTCAGCTCAACTCATATAATTTGTGGGAAAATTCTACTTCTACCAGTCCTGTATCACCTTAAACGAAATTGGGTGAATACATCTTATATTCTGTACAAGTCGGGCCCAGATGAAAACTTGGAAATCAGACTTTTCAAATGTGTTTGTGTTGGCTGTGGTCGAATAGCAACCGAAATTTTATCAAAGTGATAACCCTTGCTCTTCCTTCACTTGGTTAATTGAATTATATTTGCTTAGCAAGTTCTTATCTTTTTTACTTTATTGAATATGCGAGGTCCGAAAATGCGTAATCCAAAATTCCTTTTTATTGAGTTCCAGAATTTGGATGCTTGTATGCTGTCAGATTTATTCATCGTTTTTCCTTATAAAGAACTTTCCTCCATCACAAATTGGCCTTGAGTCAATGCATGGTAAAAAATATGATGATATTTCAATTTATTGGACGAATTTTTTACCCTTCCGGAATTAATTTCTTATTATATATTTTCTAAACTTTTGGCAGATTTTGAGATTTGCTTCTATTTTCTGTAGACATTAGTGCACCACTATAAAGTGCAAAAACCGCCATCTATATAATGAGGACTGCTGGATCGACCTGAAATTTCACGCTTTAACCATCTGATTTCTTTTCACCATCTGGCTGGCTAAGATGTCAAACTTCACTTTTTTCTATTGTTCTCTTTTTGTTTTCCTAGAATATTGTCCTGTCAGGTGGGAGCTCTATGTTCAAGAATCTTGATCGACGTATTCAACAGGACATTAAGCGAATAGTGGACAATCGTTTAAGAATCACAGAAGAACTCTCGGGTGGACGAATTAAGGTGAGCCCCTCACAACATGTATTCACTTGTAAGCTTTGCATCTGAATGAATGATTTTCCGTTTACAAGTTTATCCTGCTACAACTATTTGTGGTCAGAATCATCTTCATCATATTTTTGGTTGTTTTTTGAACGGATTTTGCGATTAATTTATTTTATGCTATCCTGATCCGCCTTCAATTAGTTTTGTTCTTTATACGTATTACTTTGTTGCCTTCTGTTTAAATTGTGGTAATAACCAGTGTTTAGGCTAGGTCAAGTTAAAGTTTCTCATGTATAGTCATATACAGTCATCCGATGACCAACCAACCTAATATCGAGAACAGGTAAATTATTTCTTTAAATAATTTACTCTACTCATGAGTAGTATGTATAATACGTTTCAATTATTTATCCAGCGTTCTTTCTTAGTCTTCCAAACTTATCAGAAACATTTTGCCTAACGTGTTTGTATGTATAAAATATTTTTTGTCCGATTTTGCAATCGAATAAGCCTATCTGCCAACTTAGTGCGGTATATTACGATAGATATATTAATTGCTCTGATTTACTTAAAAATTCTGTCATCTTAAAACCGAATGGGGCTACAATGTAAATGATTCGAGACTTTTTGATTTCTGCTTACCCCAACTTAAATACCGCCTCAACCTCGGATTGCGAAATTGAAGGATTGCCCCAAAGGCTTTCACGACTATATCACTTAATTTGGAAAACCGATCAAGTTCTAACTCGTGTCATCTATCTCTCCTTGCAAGCTCTTTTAATAACAAAATGTTGACGTCACTAACTAAGAAGTGTTGCGCTTTGAGATGTGTTTGTTCATTTCCAAATTTTGCTCTCAAATAACTCATAATACGTTTATTTTGTTTCCTTAAGTTGGCCTCATAGTTAAATGTAGATGGCCAAAATTTTATTTCCAGATTTTATATGTAATTCGGTTTTTAGACTATTAATACTCCTTGAATAGAGTGATTTGATGACTGATAGACGTGAGACAAGGTCAGATGAAATGCAATTGGATCGTGAGGCCTACTCATCGGATTGTGGGAAAACTCAGCCCTTAAATAATCGTAACTGATCTGGAGGAAGTAATTTCATATTATTTAGCTAATTTAGGCAACAAACGCTTTTCACACTTTGTGGTCTGCTTCTGACGTTTACATTTTCCCTTAGTCATTATTTCTTCTTCTTTATAATCCTTTTTGTATTGTCATTATGTCTCGTTCAGCCTACACCAATTGACGTCCGAGTCGTTTCACATCCACACCAACGTTACGCCGTCTGGTTTGGTGGCTCTCTACTTGCCTCAACGGTAATAAGAATATTGTTATTTTTTAGCTTCGTTCTCTAAATGCACACTACTTGCTCGAGACTCTTGATCCAGCTCGGATGCCTTTTGTTTCCGGTAAAATTTGCTTGTATACAAATTTCTAATTGGGACTACATTAGGGCAAACCAAAGTACGAATTTAACTCAGCTTTATGAAGATCATGGGCTTTGTGGCCTTGGAAACATGAACTCAGCTGTAGAAGACCCTGTATTCCGTCACTTACGGTATCTTATTCGATTCTTTAAGGTATATAGAACAAATGGTCAAAATTCCATTTTTTGATAAGGCTGCTTTTTCAGGTAGCCAAGTAAGAGAAGAGGTTTAGTCCTTTGGCGTTTCGCAAAAGTTTATATGGCATTGTCACATCTGAAGAAGAAGAGAATAGGATTTCTGAGCGAAGGTTACTTGTCTGCTATTATCACTTAACTTGAGACCCACTTTTTTTTAACATAGCTCTCTAAATGCTTAAAATCCTAATCCCCCTGACAACTTGGTTATTTCCCCGCTTGCTACAAGTGAAGGGATGTAGTAGCTTGGGAGGAAATGGTTCTGAAACCAATTTATAAGGAAGGTATTTTGGTATTATAGAATCCCTTAGTTGAGCTACTTCGCGACAATGCTTTGATTGATTTACTGTTGTTTTGGGTAGAGGCTTTAACCTTAAAAACAATCTTCATGTTTCAATATAAACTAATTTTTTAGTTGATTTTTGGCATGTTGGCAGGGCTATGTGAAATTCAATGAAAGCGTCAGCTCTAGTTCTATCCTTGTGGTAAAATGTAACTACCAGTCCTTCATCAACTTGTGCCAGATATGGTGAATACCTGTCATATAACTAATTTTCTTTTAAACTCGAAACCCTACTTCTGAACAAAAAATAAATTAGTATACTCAAGGATAGAGAGAGCACTGAGTCGTCTACAAAAATGAGGGGAATCAACTAGTCTTCTACTGTCTCGGCTCTAATCACGGTCACTTCTCTGTAATTTCCTCTCTCACATAAAGACAAAAAAAACCCATCAACATAACCAGATATGTGTCCGACCTTGCGTAATCAGAGTAATAGTTTATATATATATATATATATATATATAT